CATTGCTGGTAAGGAAGTTGTTTGTGGATTGGTTTGTTTTGGGTGGAGTACATAAATGATCTGCAACCAGAACATTGTAATTACATTTTGAGAGATCACCCTTACACTCCAAGGATGCTCTTTAAGCTTTGGCTCTCAGCTGGGGGAGGATTAGGATTCCCTCTCTTCCAGCTGGTTCTGGAGAAGAGAAGGCTGTAGTTCTGTCTGAAACAAATCGTGGTTGGTAACAGATGGCCTCCATCTGCACTCTGTGTAACTCTGGAAACTCAAATGCTGAAAGATTTCTTTGGACTTGATTAGTGAACAGGTAAAGTAGTTCTTAGTAATGGAGCAAACATAAGCAGGTCATGGAAGCTGTGGAGGATGCTATGAGACCATGGCTGTGAGCTTAAGGTGAAATGGTATGGAATGATATCAAGAGGGTCTCTGACAGTGTTCAGAGTAATGGCAACTTAAAGGCAATGTTTGTGAGTGTGGGAAGACGTAAGGGTTGTAATGAGTACCTACATCAATGGTATACTGCTGTGGAGGAAGTGGTTTTTAATGGCATTCTCTGACATAGTTTCAGCAAAAGCTGAGGATAGGATAGCTGGTGAAGAAGAAGGAGACTAATCCAGTGTGCTGGCTGGATCTCCATTGTTAGTCTTTTCTGGAGGTTGTTGACAGATAGGGAATGGCACATCTCTGAAGTTTGGTTAATAAAGGAACCTTATTTATTACAGAGCTTTAAAGTGTAGTCAGGTAGGGAGGCAGGTGGAAGCTGGAAAACATCACTAAATAAACAACTTGCTTTCAGTGTTAGCTTTCTTATATACTGAGGGAAGAAAGAGCAGAGATACGTTTGCTATGCACAGAATCATAGGGTTGGAAAGGACCTTGTGATCTTCCAGTTCCAACCCCTGCCATGGGCAGGGACGCCTCACACCAAGACCATGTCCCCCAAGGCTCTGTCCAGCGTGGCCTTGAACACTGCCAGGGATGGAGCATTTACCACTTCTCTGGGCAACCTGTGCCAGGGCCTCAGCACCCTCACAGTAAAGAACTTCTTCCTTGTATCTAACCTGAACTTCCCCTGTTTTAGGGGAAAGATAATTCTGGTGCTCTTAGTCACTGTGTTGCAGTGCCTGAGCTTCAGAAACTGCTGATCATGAAGGTGCATATAAAATCTTCAGCACGATCTTGGGGCAAAGCAGCTGCACTCACTTTGTCCTGCTACCAGGTTCTTATTCTCTTTTAAATATACATTCATAAAAATACAGTGCCTGACTGCCTCACTTCACCTGGGTTTGCCAGATCTGGGTACCTTTGTATGGGCGGCTTCCAGAATACAGCTTTGGGTAAAGAAGACTTCAGGCACTCGAGCTTCAGAGGTCCTGAATCAGTGTCAAATGAAGGGAGTTCCTTTATTCTGCAAAGAAAGAAGCTGGAGCCTCCCTTCCCTCCTGCCCCCCTTGTTTCAGGCAGGAAGTCCTGGCATGTGATTCTGATTGTGACGTACAGATCTCAAATTGTTTTAATCCTCTGATTAAAGGACTTCTTAGCTCTGGGAAGGTTATTTAACAACTGACTGTCTAAATATTGCCAGTTGACATTCTCTGAAGTTCTTAGCATGAGCACGTTTAATAGTAAGACAGTTTGAGTGTCAGCTCCAAGTAGTGGTCCCTTTTTTGGTGGGTTCTTAGATGTTGTAACAACTGCATAGAATGCAGCCTGTAGATACTGAACTAATATCTAAGTTATTACCTGTAACACTTCACTTTACTCCTGTAGCAGCATTTCAGATGCTCCCTCCACTGCAGTAATCCTTCATATATTTCTTTTCATAGGGACTGTAGCGATAGGACAAGGGGTGATGGGTTCAAATTAAAACAGGGGAAGGTCAGGTTAGATATAAAAGGAGGAAGTTCTTTACTGTGAGGGTGGTGAGGCAGTGGAATAGGAGTTTCCTACTTCACTTTCCTGAATTAAGACTACTTGCCTGCCTCCTCTCCATAGGCACTTCTCTGTAGCCATCTTTAGGAGGGGGTACAGCCTCTGAATCCCGAGGGAGCACGTTTGGTTTCTAGACATCCTTTGTATAGTAACACCATGTGCCGAGAGGCTGGCAGGCTGCAGCGTGCTGTCAGTCCAATTTGTTCTGGCTCCCTCCCTCGCTGAATCTGGTGACATCACACACAGAGATGTGCTTGCGAGAAAAACAGCAGAAGGAGTTGAATGGCTGCCAAAAATGTGCAGTATGAAAGTGAGCTGGCTGCTCCCAGGCTTGTTTTCACGACTCCCTCATTGTGTGCTTGCGTTTTCCACTTGCCAGGATGTTCTTTGCTGAACAAACACAGCAGCAGTGAAATCTCGCCGTACTTAGCACAGCGCAGGCTCACGCAGCAGCGTTGGAGGAGCAGCCTCATCTCCACATTCAAAGTCATTCCTATTCAATAAATGATTCTAAAGCACCATCTCTGAGTTGGTTCTTCCAAAGCTTAACAGTTTCCACATGGGGACATCCACATTTGAAGGACTGTGGGGATGAACAGGGAATGCACAAATACTGGCTAGGAGAGATAAGAAAGACCATCTCAGACTGCCTAATAGAGGTTCTATAAGACTCTCTTTGATTAAATAAATTGCTCATGAACTCCTGTAGAGGATATATGAAATAGTTTACTTATACCCTGAAAAGCTGCATGAATGTTCCAGCTTTGCTTTCCCAAAGGATACAGGATGGCCCCTGAGATGAGGCCAGCTGCATTTGGGGCCACTTTCTGGTCCTCCTGTTCGTTTTATTCAAGGCAACATAAATTGCAAGACAGGCCATGGGATTCACTGCTGAGCTTTGCTAGTCAATGACTTAGAGAAAAATGAGACAGAGAGAGGACCATAACAAATACAATTGTTCATGTCTTCTAATGTTTCATGAGGAATAGGCAGCTATTATGGTCACGTAAGCATTTTGTAAGTACCTCAGTCACATAGTTGTGTGTAACTGTATGAAGCTATCATTGAATCTAAAGCAATTCAGATGTGAACTGCTCATACAATGAATTCCCCATTACTTGGATACAAGTCTGCAGGGGCTGCAGTAGTGCTGCTTTTATAATGCAAGAAGTACACTAGTACACTAGCACTAGTGAAACAGTCATAGAAGACTCCTTCAAAGCAAAGAGCAGTAGCAAGTATTGTTCCAAGACCCACGGTAGTTTCTTACAACCAATATCTGACCAAATCCAGAGGATGGCTAAACCTTTTTACTGCAACTTTGTGGTGAATCCAGGCCCTTGCATTTGTTTCAGAGAGGACTGGCAGATGCCAGACAGGGATCACTGTGTACTGTAGTCCTCGTGCCGATCTGCTTGTTGACATTTCTCAAGGAGTTTTCTCTGAGCATTTCCTTATCTGAAAATAAGACAGGGTGTTCTGATTGTTTCCAAGCAGTGTGTGTTGTAAGGAACACACCTTGGTCTGTGAATACCCTGGGCCCGTGCACCAAGTAAAGATAGAGCTTGAAACTTCCAGTTTGTATTTTACTGTACTATAAACCAACCTGTTTTCTGCAAGAAACTCTTCTGAGTGTAGCTTTTGCTTTGGCTTAGCCACAGTAAAGATTCCTTTAAGTTCTTCTGGCATATGCTTCCATACAGTAATTATGTGCATATGTAACTGCATAATATACTCAGAAAAAGGTTTGTGTGAAATCACACATTCCCATGGTACAGCTATACAAAGAATGTGTCTCAAAACTTACCATAATCTTATCATTTTTTGTGCTTCCAATGTTTTAAATGTGATTTTTAGCAGATTTTTATTACACTTTTAAATTAAATTTTCCTCACAAAATTGGAGTAGAAAGAATTCGGTAGATTATGAAATCCAGCACTTGATGTTACTGGAGATAAGACTCTCCTTTTGCTCTCATTAGTTGATCAAGTGCCACTTATAAACAACCAGTTATTGTACTGGCTACTTCTTTGAGGAGACTGTTATAGAATGTCAGTGATTTGGTTTAAAAACCGTCAGCTTATTTGAGGCCAAATGTATTGTAGGCTAGTTAGTACCTATTTTTGCCTCATCTTTACGTCTTTTTCCCATCTTTTTAACCCTCCTGAACTTTTTTAGAGAGCAAACCTGTTGGTCTGCAGCATACTGACATAGAATCATAGAATAGTTTGGGTTGGAAAGGACCTTAAGATCATCCAGTTCCCCCCCCCTGCCATGGGCAGGGACACCTCACACTAAACCATCTCACCCAAGGCCTCGTCCAACCTGGCCTTGGACACTGCCAGGAATGGAGCATTCACAACCTCCCTGGGCAACCCATTCCAGTGCCTCACCACCCTAACAGGAAAGAATTTCCTCCTTATATCCAATCTAAACTTCCCCTGTTTCAGTTTGAACCCATCGCCCCTTGTCCTATCACTACAGTCCCTAATGAAGAGTCCCTCACCAGCATCCCTATAGCCCCCTTCAGACATCATTTCTTATAAGAATACTTAATAGCACAGTTGTTGCACTTGCTCTATAATACATTTTATCCCAGCTGATGTCTTGCAAATGCTTTTGACAATTGCACTACCACTTTCTGGGTACCTGATGGGAATGTCTTAGGACAACTGTGCTCTGGGGTCATCCGTGCCTTTTTTCCACCACTGCATCACCTCATGGGTCGTTCATTTGTTGCCAGATTACGGCACCAGCTCTCTCTAACTTTGCATTGGGTTATGTATTCATTTGGAATTCTCTTTCCCAGCTTGTTTTTCCAAGTTTTCCCTAGCTCTGGAATTCCATTCTCTTTTCCTTTGTACCTGGTTGTATGTGTCTTGTCTTTAACCTGAATAGAAATCAGATATCTACTGTTAGTACAGTATTGTATGGTGAGGACCAACTGAAATCTTGTGAGCCAGTATCATACACTGTTTACCTGTTACATAAACGTGTCTGTGATTTTATGTGTTACGATTTGCTGCCTTGGAGCACTCAGTGCTTTTCTTGCCTGTATTCCTCTTCAGCCGGTTGCTGAACCAATTCCAATCTGCAGTTTCTGCCTTGGTACAAAAGAGCAAAATCGGGAGAAGAAACCTGAAGAACTCATCTCTTGTGCTGACTGTGGCAACAGTGGTAAGTGCCCGTTTACAGTGCTGCTGGTAATAAGCCATCCTCTTGAGACAGAAGAGCTTGCTATAATGACTGCTACTGACCCATACGTATGAGGAGTATGCAACTGATAATAACCTTGCCACAACTGGTAACAACCTAGAGACAAGTGGCAAGTGTAGAAGTCTAGTGTAGTGACTACTCCTGACCCAGATGTATGAGTAGTATGCATCTACGGCGTATAATATGACTAGCTCAGCTGAATCATATGCTCCCAGAGGGGAGGCTGTTAAGTTAACCTAACAGAAATACTTCATGTGGCTTGCAGAGGTTTCTCTAAAAATGTGGTAATGATGACCAGTTTTCTCATGTTTCTCAATTCAGTTCTGAAAAATGAGCTTGCTGTTCTTTGTGGGCCTAACACTTGCTATCTAAGATGTTGGTTTTGTATTTCTAAGTAGGTAAGAATAGAAGCACTTAAAAATAGGAGTATCTAGATAATCAAAATGATGCATGGGACTGTGTAATAGATAAAGTAATTTGTGAGCTTTCTGTGGTTTTACAGGTAGGATTTTCTTCTCTTTCTGTAGGTCATCCGTCCTGTTTAAAGTTCTCTCCAGAGTTGACAGTTCGAGTGAAAGCCTTGCGATGGCAGTGTATTGAGTGCAAAACATGCAGTTCCTGTCGAGATCAGGGCAAAAATGCTGTGAGTACAGTGGAATGTGGACTGAACGAAGAGGACATTGGGCTTGTGGATGTCCTGTTAAACTACAAAATAAAATCATTCTAGAGTCAAATAATTGCAGCTTTTGTGAGAGTCAGGTAGTCTTTGATACCTGTGAAATACCATGATAACGTCTGTAGTTAAAAACTATGTGTGTGTTCTCTGAGATGGTGACAAATTCATTGAGGGCTTAATGCTGATGCACATCTAAAGAGAGATTAACTATATCTGTCTTCAACAGGATAACATGCTATTTTGCGACTCATGTGACCGTGGCTTTCACATGGAGTGCTGTGACCCGCCTCTTACCAGGATGCCAAAAGGTGAGGACTTTGTGGTGGAAAAGCTTACATATATATGTGATAATTGGGGCCTTTGTTACCATTCCTACCCTTTCTGTACCCTTTCTGGGCCTATATTCTCCTTCATGTTCTCTATAGAAGTCACTTGCATTCAGTGATGGGGATTTGTGTCTTGTAGGTATGTGGATATGTCAAATATGTCGGCCACGGAAGAAAGGAAGGAAACTCTTACACAAGAAGGCAGCCCAGATAAAACGACGCTATGCTAACCCAATAGGACGTCCCAAAAACAGGTTAAAGAATCAAAATACGACGTAAGTCTCTAAGGAGGAGCAAGGTGTGAGATTCAGTAGGACAGTGGGTATTCCTGGTGTCTGGTTTACTCTGAGAAGATCTCTTTCACAATTTCATTATTCTTTAATAAAGAATTTCTCTAAAGTACTGTGAAATAATAGAAGTAATCTCAGTGCTTCTTTTTGTCCAGTTTTTCTTTTAACCACATTAGCAAATCATCTGACAGTATCTTTACCCTTCTCATTCTGTAGATCAAAAGGTCCTTTCAGCAAAGTTCGGACTGGCCCTGGTCGGGGTAGGAAGCGTAAGATCACCCTGTCCGGCCAGTCAGCATCATCAGAAGGAGGATACCTGGAGCAGGCAGATGTCTTGGACTTCTGCAGAGATGGCAGCACCACCCTGAAGTTTAACAAGAAAACCAAAGGGCTTATAGATGGCCTTACTAAATTCTTCACTCCCTCCCCTGATGGACGAAAAGCTCGAGGGGAAGTGGTAGACTACTCTCAGCAGTACAGGATCAGGAAGAAGGGTACCAGGAAATCTAGCACTTCAGAATGGCCCACAGGTAAAGATTTTTCACCCTGCCAATGTAAGTATCCTGTACACCAAGAGCATGTTCAAAGGCTAGGATGTTGATAGTACTGCAATGAAAACTTCGAGCTGAAAGTTAATGCAGTCAGTTCTCTTTGATGCATTGAGGTTCTTATAGCCTTGTTGAGTAGTTTCATAGCTTGAATTGTTCCTAAAGAAGCAGTGGAAAATATTCCACAATAATCTATGAGATTTAAAGCTTTAGAATAATTACATGCATTAGCCTGGCTGGTGCTGAAAGAACAATGGTGTATCTTAATACTTTGGGGATGAGGTGAAATGTGCTGTGGGTTTAATGTTTGTTTTGTGGAAGGGGTGTTTCTTGATCAGTTTGGTCACAAATCCAGAACTGGTTCTTCCTTAATGGTTTATCTTATTAGAAAGTCCCATAAGAAAAAAACTTGGCAAAATGCCTGAATACAGACAGATGTTATCTGTTGCTGCACTAAAAGCCAGATACTCCTTGGTAAATGTAGGTGAAGCCAATTTTCCTTCTCATTTACAGACAATCAGGATGGCTGGGATGGAAAACAGGAAAATGAAGACCGTTTTTTTGGGACCCAGGATGTCTTAACTGAAAAGGACATGGAGCTGTTTAGAGATATTCAGGAACAAGCACTGCAGGTAAAGTGGAACTTTCAGTATCTGGCAGTAGGTACCAAATCTCACCACAGCCCAAGAACAGACCCAAGAAATAGGTGAACCAGTCTGTCAGAGAAGCCAATGTGCTTGGTTTCTGCTGCTTCCCAGTAATGGGGAACTGCCCTCAAGAGAGCTGAAGGACAATATGAAAGTGAGCATGAGAGGTTAAGGTGGAAATCTAAAATGCCTGGAGAGCTGTGGCTTTAGTTGTGTCAGAACATAGATAAATAGCTGCTAAAATGTGTGGGCTATTGATAAAATCCTGGGTACTTTACTAGCAGCAAACTCTAGGCTTGTTCTAGTAGATAGCCTAAGGTGAAAGGAGATAAGGAATAAATCTGTAAACTGATGAGGGGGAAAATAAAGTAGTAAATGGTTGTGGCTCATATGCAGGTAGTGAGCTGTAAGATCTTATTTGGCTGACTAGTGAAACATTCTGTTTAGCTTCTGAGTAAAACAGAAGGAAATGTGAATCAGTTACTATTGAAATAACAAGAAAGGAAACAGAAACGTGACTGAAAAAAGATTGTATTCAGTTTTGCTGTGTACCATGCAACAGTGTGGAAGGTAGTGGAGATACATGGTATGACAATGCTCGCTGATTCTTTCTTCTTGCGAATCACATGCTTGAAGTGTCACTGGTGCTGGGTTTTAGTGTCACCTCATTCTTTGTGCGGATGGACTCTACAGATAAGAATGCTTGACTTCAGCTTAGAAGCCTTTCCCTGGGAAATTCATGGCAATTTGTTTTTCCCCTTGCATAGAAAGTAGGGGTGACTGGGCCTCCTGATCCACAAGTCCGATGCCCTTCTGTAATCGAATTTGGCAAGTATGAAATCCAGACGTGGTACTCCTCCCCCTATCCACAGGAATACTCGAGGTAAGAGCATGACTGAATGTACTTCTCCTTTGTTCTGCTTCAGTGCTTATGGCAAAGCTGTGCCCCAGCTGGTACAGAAATCTGAAGAAGATTCTATTTGAACGTAGCCAGAAGCAAAGTACACGTAATCCCAATACTTCTCATGGCAGTTAATAGATGTTTGAAGGTGTTTTTAAGCTGAGTCAAAAGTCGATCAGCTCTCTGCAACAACCTGCATCTGCTGTGAGCATTTGAATTGCCATGGGAATATAGAGATTGATTCCTAAGAACTATTTTAATGCTGTATGTAGTTCAGCACAGCTAAAGAAGAAATGTTTAATGTTGCAGGTTTTGGCATCTGAAAGATTGTGGTGTACATATAGTTGGTTTGATGTTCTCTTGCTTAATAACTCTGCAACCTGTCTGCACTGCAAACTGTCTAACCTTCAACTTGACTCATAAAGAGGAATAACTTCTAAGGGCTATAAATACAGAGAGAAAATGAAATAAAACTCTTTATCATTTAATATAAGCATGTGTTCTGTGAGGACTTACTGTAGCTCTGCTAAAGGCAGTGAAAGTAACTGAAAACAGCATCGCTGCCCAAGCTAGAGTATGTAAATGAACTTTAATCACAAGAGCATCAGGACACTTGCATTCAAATTGTTCATGTCAATGCAGTATGTAAAACAGCTTTAAAGCAAACAGATGGTGGTGTGACCCGTTGCTCAGGGGTACATGCAGCTGTCTGTTACCAGGAGGGAAGGGAGAGAATAGGAACTTTTTATCTAATCCATCCTAGTGTCACTAGTGCAAAACTGGAGGGGGTTTTGCTGTTTTTTCTAGGATTTTAATCCCTGCAGATATTTCTTCTGACATAATAATGAAAAAGTGATTTTTCAGGACATTGAATACATATTTTTAGTATACATTTCTTATAGGACAAATAAGTGCCATGGCTTTAAGTGTGGTAAGGTGGTTTTGGCCTTATTAGCACATGCACTAGGTCAGTATTTGCTGGCTTTGTTTTCATCAAGGTCTCTATCTGCCGGGGTGAAGTGTTTTATACAAGTCTATGTATTCAGTCTCTGATCTTTCTTTATCGTTGCTTACAGGTTACCCAAGTTGTACCTTTGTGAGTTCTGTCTAAAGTATATGAAAAGCAGAACTATTCTCCAACAGCATATGAAAAAATGTGGTTGGTTCCATCCTCCAGCCAATGAAATTTACAGAAAAAACAATATTTCAGTCTTTGAAGTAAGTAAGAAGACTAAGCCACTCACTTTTATCTATAACATAGTGTCTTTAGCACCCAATCGTGTGATGAGTTTTCCCTAGCCCTAAAGATCTTCATTCTTCAAAGGTTCAGTTGCAGAGTGAACTACAAGAAGTCAGTGGGAGCTGACCTCATGGGTGGATTATTCATCCACAAAACACAGGAGAAGGCTCACTATGTCAAAATGCTTTTTCATTTTAGGAAAATGAATGTTTTCTTTTAAACTAATGAATGTAACAGTGGCTTGGTCACAGCCTTTATGCTGTGAAAGTTTTAAGTCTTTTGAGACACTATCCATGCTGGAGAAGTCGTCTTCTCGTATTAGACGTCTCAAATGTATAGGTATAGCCAGATGAAGCATGCCTTTGTGTGACAGCAAATGGAGTGACAACCTTTTCCTCCTTTCTGTAAGGTTGATGGCAATGTCAGCACTATCTACTGCCAGAATTTGTGCTTGTTAGCCAAACTCTTCCTGGACCATAAGACACTCTATTATGATGTGGAGCCATTTCTTTTCTACGTGTTGACACAGAATGATGTCAAGGGCTGTCACCTTGTTGGCTACTTTTCCAAGGTAAGTATTCAGTTTGACCCCGTTGCCTCTTGTCCTAAACCTTTTAGTTATTTTGGCAGAGCAGAGCCAAGATTTCAGACGGGTTTTCTCAAGGTTTTTGTCTGTAATTGTTTTACTTATTTTTAAACAGCTTTAGTTGAAGCTTTTCCTTTCGGTCTTCAGAACAGGACATTTGAGGTTAGATTTTAGGATATTCTGGTTATCCCATTTAAAGGGTCACTGCAATATGGCAATATTTTTCAATGAATTAGGCTGACTCAGATTTCTGCTTTGAACTTTCTCTGCTATGAACTCGACATTTGACCTTGACTCATATACATTGCTGTTCCTAAGAAACTCTCTTGCTTTCTGGCTCATTTTTTGCCCTAACCATAAGTAGGGGCTTGTACAGAACAGCTTTGATTTCTCACTTATTGTCTTGTCTTTTTTGTTTTGTCCTAATTTGCTGCTTTTCCAACAGGAGAAACACTGCCAACAGAAGTACAATGTGTCCTGTATAATGATTCTTCCTCAATACCAGCGTAAGGGCTATGGCAGGTTCCTAATTGACTTCAGTAAGGAACTTTTTCTTCACTTTTTTTAGTGCATGTAGTTCTTTCTACAGAAATCCAGCCCTAAAACTGCACAATCTGTTGAAACCTTTGACATCTTGATTAAGTGAAAGAGTGTCTTAAGCAAAAAGTAGTCATAGTTATGTTTTAATTTAGCTTTGAGAGTAGTAAGACCAGACATACTGAGGCTCTGAATACTCAAACAATTCTCGCATTCATACATGGATCTCCGCAAGTTCATAGGGAAACTTGCCACTGTAACTATATCTCTGTTGTTATGCTGAATGCAGTCCAGTATAGCCCATGCTGTCCAGTATGGCCCTGAAGTTTGGCAGGAGAAAATATTCAACTAAATGATTTTAAAAGGCTAAAATACGCTTTCCTTCTGTCATCTTCAAAATTGCTGTTGTAGTCAGAGGATACTCAGCAGCCTGGTTGTGTATAGAGTTTCTGGGTAGAGAGCTGCTGCCCTCTCGTGGCGTTGCCCGTGGCGAATGTGTGGTGGTGATGCAGTTTAGGAATCTCCGTCAGTGTCATTGAACAGGACTTCGAACCACAAAAAACCCAACCAGTGTATTCCTCAGACTTAGAATCTGGACTTTGTAGGCAACATTCAGCTGCTTTCTGGATAAAATTGCCTTTGTTGGGGTGGAAAGAGAAGCTGTATATGCTAATTTCTTGAATTTCTTTTCTTGTGTATCTGCAGGCTATTTGCTGTCAAAGCGTGAGGGTCAAGCAGGATCACCAGAGAAGCCCCTGTCAGACCTGGGGCGCCTCTCCTATATGGCTTATTGGAAAAGTGTAATATTGGAGTGCCTTTATCATCAACATGACAAGCAATTAAGCATCAAGAAATTGAGTAAGCTGACTGGGATCTGCCCTCAAGATATCACTTCCACTTTACATCACCTACGAATGCTTGACTTCCGTAGTGATCAGTGAGTACAGGAGTCCTGTTGTATTTCCAAATAGCTTCCAGTGTATTTGAATGAAATTTAATGGCATTTGGAGACAAATCTTATCTAATAAGCTTGCTTTTATTTAAGACTTAAGTATCCAAATGAGTGTACAAGTCAGGTGAAATACTTGGAATTATTCTTGATTCAGACCATAGTAATCTGGGGAATGGGGTTGTATTCTGTCGTGTTTTGTGTTAAACTTGGAACTTACTTGGAAAACTTGAAGTTATTTGTCAACAGTTTTATGTCCTCACTTCACAGTATATTTTAATCAGTGATAACTACTCCCAACCACTGAATAAAACATACTCTGGTAGTAGGGCTATAACTTCTTAAAGCAGTCCTCTTATTACTGTTCAGTGTCTTTCACCTTATGTTGCCTGTTCTCCAAATGGCATACCCCCTATCCATTTGACACATAATGAAAGTGATAGCCTTGCAGCTGAATATTACCCATGGAATGTCTTCACCATTAACAAGAAGTGGAAGGAATTTAACATTTTCTCAGTTTTCAGATGCTTTCTCTGGTAATCTGGTACTGCAAACAGTACAATTTTGAGGAGCTTTCTGTCATCTGTATGTTACCCATGGTAGCACTGATTGAGAGTACACAGCTTTATCTGTAATACCTTACATCTGTTTCACATGACAGCACATACTGTGTGTAGCCTGTTGTTGATGAGAGTGTTATTGCTCTTTAGATTTGTGATCATTCGTCGGGAGAAGCTTATCCAGGAACATATGGCAAAGCTCAGAACTAATGTCCGACCTATAGATGTGGATGCAGAATGTCTGCGTTGGACACCTGTTATAGTTTCCAACTCCGTTGTCTCTGAAGATGAAGAAGAGGAGACAGAGGATGGGGAAAACGAAGAGCAACAGCAGCAGAAAGAAAAAGATTCAGAGACCAGTGTAAGAGTGAATCTGTTACTTCTTTGTGGCACCTACGTTACACTCGGTGCTTTTGCATGCAGTGCAAACAAGATTGCAGATGCCAAGCTTGGGCGTTTGGCATAATTGTAAAAACCAATACAGTCATGATTAGTTTATGGGTCTTGATAGTTTCAGATTAGAACTTAAATGTAGGGAAAACATTATGTCTAGAGAAAGGTTAAAGGGTATTTCTGAAAATAGTAGAAAGGCTTTTTCTGCCCTTCATGATTTTTGCAGTCTGGGGGAGAAGCAATGTTAAAAACCCCAAACCACCACAGAATCTGGCTCTCACTCTCAAGCAGCCTTGTCTTTAATCAGATTATTGAAATAGATTTAGGTTTGAAGGACCTAGTATTTGACAAATAGCATAAATAGAAATGAATGAACCTACAGTTTTAATGGTTCTCACCAAAGGTTTTTGCTTCACAGAATAGCTTCAAGTTTGTCTCACTTTTAACTTGAAAATGAAATAAATCCTGTGATTGAATGTAGCGAGGTGATGTTTGCATTCCATCGGGCTGCTGCTGACTGAAGTCACTTGTGGGGAAGGTAATTAAGGCACATTATCACCTGGAAGGGAAGGAGCAGCAGTTAGCACTATTAGAATCACAAAAAGGTCAACTGTTTTGTTCTTCTCAACTTCTTAAAAGCCATTCTTATTCAAGTTTTCTGACTTCTTGCTCAAGAGACTTTTGTGGACTCAAATTCTGGATAGACTTGCATGCTTAAATAGGAAGTGTGAAACCTCTTTGTCTTTGTTTAAATCAGATGGCAAAATCTGTGTCATGGGAGAAGAAAGAGCAAGAGCCTTACTCACCTACAGAGAGTGAAAAAAAGCCAGACATTGTTGCTCCAGCCAATTCTGCACGGCCAAACAAGCACATTTTCCCCCTGGATAGCCTTCCTGCAAACAGCCAGCCCTCACGAAGAGGGCGATGGAACCGCAAGAGCAAGAAACTTCGGGAGCCCTTTTGTGACAAGGAGTCAATGTTGCCCATGGAGGACAAACCACCAGTTCCCAGTGGGCGATGCAGTGAATGCGAGGAGAAGTCAGCAGCCTCCCAAGGCCGGTGCAGTGACTGTGAGGAGAAGTCAGCAGCCTTGCAAGGAAGATGTGGTGAATGTGAGGAGAAGTCCCCAGCCCCAAGAAGCCGATACGTTGAAGAGGAGGAAAAATGTGCAGTTTCCCAGGGACAGTATGGCAAAGGGGAAGAATCTGCAGTTCCCCGTCGGCGGTACAGCGAAGGTATGGAAGGGTGGAGAGGGCAGTTGAAAAAGAACACGGAGCCACTGAAGAGCAGATTCCCAGAGGACTGTGACAGGTTACCCCGCCGCTACAGTGATAGTGACAGGGCACTTCTGAGGTGTTTTAGTGAGAGTAGTGAAGAGGAAGACGATGAACCTGTGAGTCCTCGATCGAGCTCTCCGCCTGTTCTCACCAAGCCAACATTGAAACGAAAGGTGTGTGCCTTATTTCTTGTTGTCTCTGACTGTATCATGCGATCTGGTTTGTCATGATGTTGGTGCTTTCTGAAGGACTGTGCAATTCATGATGGGTGTATTAAGCATACAGATAGCATCTGCTCAGTTTTTCAGAACTCTGGAGGGTACATTCTGCTGCTACCTGTTTGTGGTGGTGGTTCTTGTTGAATCGGAGGTAAGTGGGTTGGTGGGGGTTCTGATTTTGGTTTTTTTTTTGACAAAAGCCTTATGCTTTTGATTTTTCCACCTTTAAAAGTGGTTATTAAAGTTTTAGTCATGCAAAATAAAAACAGATACAGTCCTACTTTAAAAGAAGCTGACAAAACACAAATGCTGTCTAAACAGCTAAAATGACAGCAGAAAGTCTTTGGAATGGTTTACCAGAGATGTGAATGCTGTCAGTGTGACCAAGAAGATCCTCTCTTCATGGAATGCTGCACTGAGAAGTTCTCTTCTGTATCATCTTTGCAGCTTTATTCACATCTATGTTGTAGTGTTAATGAACTTTCAGCTGTAATGGATGGGCTGTTAATGTCAGCTGTATAAATGGTCTATACTATTACACAAATTGTGTTTGACATCTGTCTAGCCAATGGCAGGTGCCTGTCAGTATTTCTAGTGAAGTCTGGGCTCCAGAAGGGAATCCTCTGCTCCTGCTTAGACTGTTAAACTCTGCTGTTCATGTTTTCTATTTATCAGAGTCTTATTCCTACTGCATGTGATAAAATGTGTTCTCCTGACTTCCACTCTCAGAAACCAATTCTTCATCGGAAGAGGCGAGTCCGCAAGCGTAAGCACCACAATAGCAGTGTTGTCACTGAAACCATCTCAGAGACCACAGAAGTGCTGGATGAACCGTTTGAGGACTCAGACTCCGAACGACCAATGCCCCGATTAGAGCCTACATTTGAGATTGAGGAGGAGGAAGAGGAGGAGGAGGATGAGGAGGAGGAGAATGAACTTTTGCCCAGTGGATACTTTCGGCATTTAACCCCACCAGATACACTCAGGCATAGACCCTCTTCTAAGAGGAAGTCCAAAGATGAGGAGGAGTCTGATGACACTAATGGTATGTTTGGTGGTATGCAGTTGAAAGTTTGATCTAGATACTGTGCCAGTGGGTGTCAGATGATACTAGCTCATGACAAAAGAAGCTGCTTCCCTTGTCTTGCAACTTCTAGGCAAAATGTAGGGTTAGGCATAAATTACCAGTCAGACCAGCCTGAAACATTCCCAAGTCTTATGAAAATGTGGTGCATGCTTTTAACTGTCTTATTAGCAATGACCTGATCAAAGGTCATTGAATCCTTTTGATTCAGCTTTCCTAATGAAATCGGTGTCTGTGAAAAAACCTCTGCAGGAGGGTCACTTACAGAAACAAACCAGAAATGGGCTGGAGAGCCCTCAGTTTTCCAGAACAAGAGAAATAATAAGTTGTTCTCTAGCATGAAATAGAGAAATGTAAAAGGGGAAGAGAAGTAGTAGATTATTTTTTTCTTTTTGAGTGGAATTATCCATTTTTTGGAGGGCTTTAGTGCTAATGCTTTACCAAACACTCTGAAACTAGCACTGCCTTTTTCCTGCCCAGTGATACATTGACTGTGACAGATCCTTTCTTTCCTTTATTCACATTCCAAATATTTGTTTTATGGATGAAATTGTTCAAATTTTGAGTTCATTATTTGTTTTAAATTCATCTTTTAATACCCAGCATTTTTTCAGAGCACTTCTCATTGAAGATACTTGGAGTAAATGCCTGTCTGAGCAAAGGGAAGGAGTAACTCAGCTGCCCTACGATTAGGTTTGAAGAAGTGTTTGTGAACTGCTAGGAGTCCGTTACTCAGTTTTACTTTCATTGCATAACTGTGGACTTAAGACAGCTCTTCTTGGGAAATTCATAGCCTGGAATCAGTAACATTTTTTGAGGTGGTGGAAAGGGCAGAAATGTGAATAAATGTACTCTGAATACTGGGGAAAATGAATCCATCTATGGATAGATTAAAATATAACATACTAGCTGCCAGGAAGAGAGGGGGTTTGGTAAATGAAGTGAAGGGCAGCTCGCTGCTGAAGTCTGTGATAGAGTGTTTGAAGGTCATGTCCAGTAATTAGCATGGGTTTCTAGCCTAGGGGCCAAAGAGATTCAGATGATCCTAAATACATGAACCAGGGAATCTCAAGTGAAGTAGAGACATTCTGTCATCTCTTTATTTAGCCTTGGTGAAACTGCAAACAACCATCTTTACTCTGTTATTCACACTTGATAGACTGGAATAGTTCACAAGAACAGTCGTGGGCTGATTAAGAGATTAGAACAAATGTTCTATAATAGATTCAAAGAAAGCGGAGGCAAAAGAGTGACTTGATCAAGTTGCAAATTGCTAAGGTGAGTAAGGAGATTTACTTATTTGATAAGAGAGATTTTCTGCCTAGCAGATAAAAGGAGAATTAATACAAAAGCAGATTAAGTAAATCCTGTGTCTGAAGACAGAAATTCAGACGGTAAAGGGTGAGTATCAACTAGTGTCAGTGGTTAACTGTTGCAGCAGTTTACCAGCCGTTGTGTAAAATAAATCTGGCCCAATTCAGTTATCTGTGTCTCTGTTTAAAAGCATTTAAAAGCATAAAGCCCCCCAAAAGTGAAAACTTTCTTCAGCAGATGCACAGCATACAGATCTAAATAGAAACAGGGTTTTAATTCACCTTCATGGAACACTTTCATTTGTGAACTATTGTATAAGTAACATTTGTCAAGGGTGGTGAGTTTTTCCAGGACTGTATCATACAGCCTGATGTTTCGCCTGCACTGTGTGTTAAAGGCTCAGGGCTTTGACCATGCATGTGCTTGAAAACACTGGTGGTCTTTGAGAATGTAATGTGATTGCTGACAAGCAGCCCTTGATCTTTCTTGTTAACCCTTCACAATGAATCTCTAAGCTGGTATTGATACAAAAAGTTGATAAACATGATGGGAATGCTGGGGTCAAACAAATGCGTTTGAACAATGTCTTTCAATTTGTGTTTTCAGGTAACCCACCTTTGAAACCATTATCTATGCTGAGAAAATGTGAAGATAAGGATTCTTCACTTGAGCCAGATACTTCTACACCCATGAAAAAGAAGAAGGGATGGCCAAAAGGGAAAAGCCGAAAACCAGTGCACTGGAAGAAAAGACCTGGTCGAAAACCAGGGTTTAAACTGAACCGGGAAAAGGAGCCACCGTCAGCTGAGGATGAAGGAGTTGATGCAGTGGTAGCTAATTCAAAACCAGGGCGTAAGCCCAAACTTTCAGATCAAGAGGAAGGTGTTGAGCAGAAAGAAGAGCTGCCTTTTACTGAGGAAAGGAAAGAGGAAGATGTGAATGTGGAAGCAGAAGAGGTAGGAGAGGGAGAAGAGGAAGATACAGCCAGCAGTGAAGTAAGAGCAGTTTCTCCTGTGGACAGCAACAGCAGTCCAGTGCCAGAAGTAAAAGAGCCTGAGATAGAAGAGGAGGTAGAGGAGAAGCCACGGGTTTTAGAAGAGCAGAGGCAATCAGAAGAAGAACAGCAAGAACTAGACGAACCTGAGCATGATCATGAAGAAGAAGAGGAAGTTGCAGCAGCAACGAATCAAAATGAAGATCACGATGCTGATGATGAAGACGACGGTCATCTGGAGTCTGTAAAGAAAAAAGAGTTGGAGGAGCAGCCTGTTAGAGAAGGGGTGAAGGAGGAGCCTCAGGTGCAAGAGTGTTTTTTAGAAACAAGCATACCAAGCAGTAGAGAAGATACAAAAGAAAAAGATGAAACGGAGGCAGATTCTGAGGAAGAGCAGGCTTCCAATGAGACATCAGTAGGCTCAGAGCACGTCCCTGGGTCTGAAGACGACCACGAAGAAGAGCAGAGTAATAAAGAAGGGTTAATTGAGTTAAAGGAAGAGGAAGAGATTCCTCATAGTGAGCTAGATCTTGAAACTGTTCAAGCAGTCCAGTCCTTGACACAGGAGGAAAGCAATGAGCATGATGTAGCTTACCAGGACTGTGAAGAAACTCTCGCAGCTTGTCAGACTTTGCAGAGTTACACCCAGACTGAGGAGGATCCTCAGATATCCATGGTTGAAGATTGCCAGGCCTCAGAACACAACAGTCCAATATCCTCTGTTCAGTCCCACCCCAGCCAGTCTGTACGTTCTGTCAACAGCCCAAATGTGCCTGCTCTGGAGAGCAGTTACACCCAGATAAGTCCTGAACAAGGATCCCTGTCCGCACCCTCTATGCAGAACATGGAGACCAGCCCCATGATGGATGTGCCTTCAGTATCGGACCACTCTCAGCAGGTGGTGGATAGTGGCTTCAGTGACCTTGGCAGCATTGAGAGCACTACAGAGAATTATGAGAACCCCAGCAGCTACGACTCCACTATGGGAGGCAGCATCTGTGGAAATAACTCTTCCCAGAGCAGCTGTTCCTATGGAGGACTGTCCTCTTCTAGCAGCCTCACTCAGAACAGTTGTGTTGTCACTCAGCAAATGGCAAACATTGGCAGCAGTTGCAGCATGATGCAGCAAAACACTGTCCAGCCTGCAGCAAACTGCAATATCAAGTCACCTCAGAGCTGTGTAGTAGAAAGGCCTCCAAGTAACCAGCAACCAACAACACAGCCACAACAGCAACAGCCTCAGTCACAGCAGCCACAGCCACCACCTCCACCCCAGCAGCAACCTCCGCTGTCGCAGTGTAGCATGAACAACAGCTTCACCCCAGCACCTATGATCATGGAAATACCCGAATCAGGAAGCACCGGTAACATAAGTATCTATGAGAGGATCCCAGGGGATTTTGGTGCTGGGAGCTATTCACAACCGTCAGCCACGTTCAGTTTAGCCAAGTTGCAGCAGCTGACAAACACCATTATGGACCCTCATGCCATGCCTTACAGCCATTCTCCTGCTGTGACTTCCTATGCAACCAGCGTTTCCCTGTCCAACACAGGGTTGGCTCAGCTAGCTCCCTCCCATCCCTTAGCAGGCACACCACAAGCACAAGCCACCATGACACCTCCACCGAACCTGGCGTCCACCACCATGAACCTCACGTCACCTCTGCTCCAGTGTAATATGTCTGCCACCAACATTGGGATCCCGCACACCCAGAGGCTGCAGGGGCAGATGCCAGTCAAGGGGCACATCTCCATCCGCTCCAAGTCAGCACCGCTGCCCTCTGCGACCGCGCACCAGCAGCAGCTCTACGGGCGCAGCCCCCCTGCGGTTGCCATGCAGGCCGGGCCCCGGGCCTTGGCTGTCCAGCGGGGTATGAACATGGGGGTCAACCTAATGCCAACCACCCCGTACAATGTTAACTCCATGAATATGAACACTCTGAATGCCATGAACAGCTACAGAATGACACAGCCCATGATGAACAGCAGTTACCATAGTAACCCTGCCTACATGAACCAGACAGCACAGTATCCTATGCAGATGCAGATGGGAATGATGGGGAGCCAGGCCTACACCCAGCAGCCTATGCAGCCCAATCCTCATGGAAACATGATGTACACTGGCCCCTCCCATCACAGCTACATGAACGCTGCTGGGGTGCCCAAGCAGTCTCTCAATGGACCATACATGAGAAGATGAGCAAGATGAACTTGCATCCTAAAAACTGAAATATATATAAATAAAGGAACCTTTTATACTGACGAACCAGAGAAAATGGACCTTTTTCCAGTTAAAATATTGCTGTAGATTTAGAGGGATTTTCTTTGGTTTATTTTATTTTTTAGGAAGCCTGGTCTTTATTTTTTGGAGGTTTTTGTTTTGTTTTGTTGTTTTTTTTGTTTTGCGTTTTTGTTTTCTTCACAATCCTGAAGCATTTTACAGCTAAAAAAAAAAAAAATCATTTACAGATGTTTTTTAGAGGGGAAAACATGCACAAAATCTTTCATAATTTAAAAAGAGCCTTACTTTGCTGACAATGTGGACAGAATACGTGTAACAGTGAAATCATCTTCCTAAATTTGTTTTATCTCAGTGTACGTCCTTTTCCCTCCCCTGTGCCCCTCTGTATTGCAGTTTCTAGTGCTGCAGTCATGTAATGTTTGACATCTCAAAGAATAACAACCCTTCCCTCTAAAACCCCACCTAGCATTTCCTACTTCTAGCAGGAGGCACTTATTGGGAGACTTGGAAGGGGACACAGAGGATAAAAGAAGCTCTTGATTTCTGCAGGTCAGGGGAAATCTTTCATCTGGAATTTTCCCTGCCTCCCTCACCCGCAGTGGAATTTGGAGTTAGGTGTAAACAATAAACTCTTCACATTTGGTGTTTTTTGTAGATGAATTAACTGACATTGTATGTTTCACGCTGAAAAGTGTAATGTGACTTGAAACTGATCCCGTTCGCCACCCAGACATGCATGTTGCACACACGTGCGTGCATGCACACATGTTCTGTCACTCTGAACTACTGGAAGCATCGAGAGAGAGAACGTTGCATCCCTCGTGCAAGTCACGAGGAGGGAGAATCGGGTGGGACGTGGCTTTTAGGACAAGCAAACGGCTGCAGGTTCTCGTGGTGAACTGCAAGTCAGCCACAAGGCTGAGGTCCCAAACTCCTCTGGTGTGTCCTAGGAAGTGCTGAGGGTCTTGGTTTGAGCCGCTTAGTCAGGCTGAGCCCAGAAGGAGCTGTTTCCAGTGGTCTGCCTCTTAGTCTCTTTACTTGAGTCATCTTGGAAGATAACGTGTATGTTGTGACTTGACAAAGAGCCCTGTGGTGTCCTTGTCCCTTTTCCATTCCTGGCATGGGGTAGGAAGTTGCTGAATGTGCCGCGCTCTGGGGGAGTCAGGGATGTTCTTCCCCGATTCTGCCGCTGTGTTGGAGACCCGTTTTATAGGAGTAGCCACACTTTGGATCTAGTGTGAGAAAAGAAGGGAATCGGCCTGTTTTACCGCAGTGAAACAGTCCAAACACTAGAGGAGGATGCAGGCAGCAGGATTTTGCTGTTTATTACCGCATAGTCCAGTTGACGTTCTCTTTGGCTACACTGCTGGCATGTCACCCAATACAAAAAGGGACACCCCTTAATGTAAAGTTCTTTTTTATTGTATATGAAGTAGAAATACAGACACATTAATAAGACTAATTTCGTTTGTTTTTAAACCAAAAGAGTCTAAAAAGAAAGTTGGGGTTTTCTTCAGATGCACTAAACCGGACTTTCCTCCAGTAGCTGCTTAACCAGAAAAGGCAGAATTCAAAGGACTTCCACTTTTTACTTCTGTTTAGTTTTGAGCATGTACAAGGCTGTGTAGGACCCCATTCTCTCTGTATATACTATTCCAGCCCCGAATAACCCATGTAGAAAGCGCACTGTGCTGCCCTCTCCTTCCTAGATCTTCAGCTGGGTCACTGCTTCCTGATGGGGGGGGGGGGTCTGAGACAGGAGGAGGAGAAGCTGTTGGAATGAGGGCAGTGGATTGAGTTTGGTTTGGTTTTTGTATGTTTTTTTTACCAATTGGGCAGCTCCCTTTTCCACAAGCCTTTGTGACTGTAGAACTATTGTAGAGAGAAAAAAAAAAAAAAAAAGTTCTTTTCTATATATAAAAAAAAAAAAAAAAGAAATTATCCAACGCAGTAATCTTGGTACCTACCATTTTTTCACTTCTGTTTAAGAAAAAGAAAAAAAAAATAAAAATATGTATTTTTAGCAAGATAACTTGGGTAATCTTCTAAAAGAAATTAAAAATCTCACTGTTAGTGACTTCGATGCCTTTTAAAAGAAATAAGAGCTTTTTCATTTCATTCCATCTTTAAAGTTTTTTATCTTTGTTGTAGAATATTAAAAACTATTTTAAGAAAGATAAAAAAATTCTCTTTAAAGAGATCTCTAGAGTGTGTGAATAGGAGCTCCAGATGCCTCTAAAAGCCGCATGTACAAATGAAGCTGAGTCTATTCCTGTCTGTTTATATTTGCTTTTCCTGTTTTGTAACCTCTTTGTACTTTGTTCATGGTGACTTGTAAGCTAAGGGGAAGGGGTGCCTAGATGCCTTTGTAATTCTCCATGTCATACGCTCCTGGCTGGATGGTCTCCCTTCCTCTCCTTGTATGTAATATCACTTTTTTTTCCCCTTTCTAGCAAGTACTTTCAAAAGAACTCTGTACATTTTAACATAAAAAATAAATTATGTTGAGCCATTTTGGATGTCAGTTGTGCATGTGGGTTTTTTGTCTTTTATTGCCGTCGGAGCAGTGAACTCTGCTCCTTGGGCCTGGGAATACCATCATTCCCTTTTGATCTGGAAGCGAGGTGGCTCGCGAGATTGCCCTCCGTGTTAATCTTTGTCTGCAGCTTCTGATCAGAGAAAGGTGAAGAAAAAACACTTGAAGGCATCTCCAGAAATCATCCTGTTTAAATCCATCTCTGCCCAGAGCTGCTTTTTGCCAGCTTGTTTGTACAACGGCTTTAGAAGCCATTGTGTGTTTGAAGCCCCCCCCTTCGCTTGCCCTCATCTGTGTCATTACCACTTCGGGTAGGAGAACTAGAGATCTTACCCTGCAGCTTCAAGGCAGAATTGGATCCGTCAGGAGCTCTGTGGTTTTGTCCCGCTGTGCCCTCCTGCAAGCTCACGGCTCACACATCACTAGATGGAAGCAGCGTTCCGCAATCGCTGCCCGCATTCCCTGTGATAGATGCTGTAGCTTGGCTCAGCCTCCTTTGGAGGTTCAAGGGCAGGCTGCCTGTTGTCTGTCACAAGTATGTCTTCAAGCGTGTTTGTCTGCCACAGGGAATAAGTGAAAAGGAGCTTGAGAATGAGTTAAGTTTCGAAGTGCTTTTGCTCTCCAGTCCTCGCCAAGATGAAATGCAAGTTGATGTACAGCGAGGATGATGCTGCATCTTCCTTCAACCCCATACATTTTTCCTTGTTTCGTTCAAGCACCGGAATTTTCAGATCAAGCATGTCAAGATACAGGTAGAAGTTGATTGCACAGGGGTGCTCCTGGCTGTTTGGTTCATTTACTCTCACAACAGCTTCCATGTTATTCAAGCATGAAGGAGAGAGAAACAGGGTGAGCGGTGAGTAAGGCTGTCACTGCTTCAATCACTTGTGAATTGTAGTGGGTGCATCAGCAGGGCTACAGGTAAGAGTCATCAGAGCTGCATCCTGTGTGTATTGCTTTCCCATAGTCAGGGCTGGAGTTAAGACTGCAATAACTATTCTGGCCCAGAAAGCTGTGTTCAGTCGCTCACAGCCACCTTTGATCCTTTTAAAGCTGTTCATTGAAGCTTTGGCACTGTCCAGTAGCACGGTTCCGAGGAGGTGGGTGCCACCCCACCGTGTCCTGCTTTTCCCATGCTTAAATGCCTGTGGTTGGAGGCCTCTTGGGGTTGGTTTGTTATTTTCTGTGTACCCTGAATTTAGCAGATTTCAGTGGAACAATAACACGCGCTTGGGTTGAATTGTTATCTAGCAGTGATGCTGTTGGAGTCAGCTTTGATTTATTACCAGTTCTCAGAAACAGCTCTCGTTTTTGGGATACAGTATGGGGTTTAAAAGTAAAATACCAATTGAGAACAGTTTTGTGTGTTCTTTAGGCAGGAATTTGGAACTCTTTTAAGAAGAAAAAGAAGCTGTTTAGATAGGAACATGATTTCTAACCATTTATAACAACTTTCTAGCTTTGTAAGCCAAGGAGCAAAGGTGAGTGGTTATGGAAATCTATAAAGAAGATCATGGGAAATGTGATTCTGGAGTTAATGGTACATAAACAGGAACTGCTGCTTAAGAAATGCTCATTCAATACAATATTCAGTAATATAGGCTGCACTGTTAATGGCCTCTGCTAGTTTGAAAGCAAGACGCAGCTCCGTTTGTGTGGGTTAACTTGATGATAACCACGTTTGGGAGCCGTGAACAAGGTGACCTCTTTTTTAGCATCTTCTTGTGCGAGCTGTCAAATCCTGCTGTGGGAGAATGACCAAACAGGGGAGGGGAAGGGGGGTTGAGAGACATTTCCCAGTCCAGAGTGGGGTTGAAATCAGACTGTCCTGAAGTGCAAGAACCATCAGCGCCCCAGAGCATGGAGTGAGCAGCCGCTGCTGCAGGCTCTGCACTGCCATGGGCAGGTACCACACAGTGAGAGCTGTTCCATTCAGCCCTGCCAGGTTTGCTCTAAATCAGTTGCTAATGTGGACCAAAACGTTTGTTACCAACCCTTAACACCCAGGCAGGAGTCTGAATGCAGCCCACAGCCATAAACCACTGTCTGGAAGCTGAGTGTGATGTAAAGGAGGCTCACTGAGAGGAGGGTGATCTTCAGGGGGTTTGACAGTTCTGGGAGCTCATCGGGGAGATGAGTAAGAAAGTGCTAAAAAGAACAGAACCATCTTCATTAATTTCCCAACCCGGGGAGCGAGCTGCTTGCTGAGATCTTCCCTCTGCAGTAGCAGAGGAATGCAGATAGACAGAGGCAGACGAAGTTTACAGCAGCCAAGGTGGGGCCTGCAGCATCTTTTATCTTTGCAGCTTGTCAGCTGGATAAGGTACCTAAAAATAGCTGCCTGAAACTGAGCTTGGAATGTGAAATCCTCCTGCCCCTAACACCGAATCGCAGCGACTTCCCAAGCATTGCTGTGCACCCAGAGCAGGGCAGGACTCCAGCGACGTGTTTAACCTCTGGCAGCAGCTGCAGTACCTTGCAGACAGAGCCAGGAACTTGTTTCTGTGCTTCCTTCCTGATGGGAGGCTCTGTTCCAAGGACAGCACCTCATGACTGTGTTGGTTCTGTGGGGCTGTTTTCCTAAGGGTTCCCTGTCAGGATCTGTTTGCTCTCCCTTGCCACATCCTTTGCCCTGTGAACTCTCTGCAACAAGGTCTCCGTTGCTACGTCTCTCATTCATGTCATATAGAATGGGTTGGGTTGGAGGGGACCTTCAGCTCATGAGGTTCCAACTCCCTCCCGTGGACAGGGCTGCCTTACACCAGACCATGTCACTCAAGGCTCTGTCCAGTCTGGCCTTGACACTGGAAGGGATGGAGCATATGGTAGAATCCCAGTCTGAGACTGAGGTACGAGAGAGTTATCATAGTACAACCAATGTATTCTCAAGGTAAAAGCGATAAACCTGGTGCTCTGTGCCAAGTCATTAACTAAGGCTCTTGATTTTGTTACTAACATGTGGCTATTGCATCCACATGGTACCCTTCAGCCGAAGGAGGGAGTCTGTTTACTGCAGTCCTGTCATCCTCCGTTTCCCCGCTTTATCCAACAGGAACAAGCAGCAGCAAGGCAGGACACATCTCCTGAGCCAGGTACTTCCCAAGCAACTTCTCCAAAGAAGAGAGGAATCACAGCTGGACAGAAATAAATGTGGTGAGTTCAGTGAAATTACTCCTGAGTCCGTTTCCCACTTGTCCTGTCCTGAGTCCTTCTGAACTAGCAGGAATGATGAAGAAGATGAGCTTCTCTTCATGTCCAGCACATCGCTAGGGTCCCTTTCTACCAGCCCTGTGCTGCTCCACGAGCTCTGATGATGGTCCTCACTGGTAAAGACCAATCTGAAGATGGTGCTGCTTGGGCCTTGGGCTGACTTTTGCCTGAAGCAGAGAAGAAAACCAGAACACAAGGGAGGCCAAAGAAGGTGAGCAGTGTTTCTGAGCCTGAGTGGAGGGAAAGGGGGAGAGAGCATCTGTGTCCTTCCCTGTCTGCCTGGGATCTGTGTGGCAGACTTGTCCACCAGCTCTGGAGAATGGGGGCATCCATAAGGTCTCCTGCAGGAAAACAGGAGGGAAGATGTAGGGGGACCAGTAGGTAGGATGTAAGGGGATCCCCAGTGGATTGGCTTGGCTCTGCTCACTGCCTGGCGGGGCTCTGCCTGTGGGCTGTGATATGTCAGGCCAACATCCTGAGTTCAGAATTGAGGAGCTCCTGAAAACATTCTTGTTGCTCCTCCGTGGCTGCATCTCCTCCCTCCTGTGCAAGGCTTCCTGTTCCTTCCCCTGGACCAGCACACGTGTGACTGGTTCCAGTCCCTCCCGCATCACCTTCCCCATATCCCGGTTCTCCCACGGTGATCCCTGCTCGTTTTGTGCTCGCTCTGTTCTGGCTTACAAGCAGTTAAGAGGTGGGATCTCTTCGTAGGCGGAGGCAGTGCCCTACAGGCAAACAGAGTCTGAGTGTGCTGCCATTGCCTGATGCCATTTGGCTGTGTCTGTAGCAGATGCTTTGCTGACATCAGGGTTACAAAAGCATGCCTCTGCCTCTGCCCTGGCTGCAGCAGTGCAGGCCCTGCCGTGGAGCAGGCTGCAGTCTGACCCAGCTTAAGCCTTGGAACCTGAACGGCAGGACCCGAGTCAGGGATGCAGGGATGCACGGATGCACGGATGCTACCATGCTCAGTGCTCCTGAACCCCCCAGCGCTGGAAGGTTGTGCCCAGACACCAGCCAGTCCATGTGGTGGGAGCTGATGCTGGTGGATGTGGGTTGGTTTCACCCCTGAGCTCCCTGTTTTGGAAAATCAGGGAATTACTCAGAATTCCAGACGAGTGCAGAGCTGGGTCAGGAGGCGATGTCAAGCACACAGCAGTGAGGACTGTCATAGCCAACAACTGCTTTGCCTCCTGTGTGCCTATTGCTGAGCACAGGTCAGTCTGCGTCCCTTGTCCTGCTCACTTGAGAGGTGTCATTAGGTCCTGGCACCTCCTGCCATTCACTGGCAGCTTCAGTTGCATTTTGTGATCTCTCCTCTTTCTGCAGGGGCGTTCATAGGACGTTGCTATATAAAGATGTGCAGCTGTATCTAGACTTGAGTGTATTATTTATCCATGTGGGTGCAGTACACAGCTAAAGCTGTCCTTGAAAAGCCTGGTAAAATGTGATGATTTCCTATTCTTCCTATCTTATTAGGACCTTCTCTACATATTCTCAGTCATCATATTCTTTAAAAGCTATGTGATACACCAGCATTTTCCCTGGGTTTAGCACCCTCCTTGGTCTGTGGCTGAGGCAACAGAACTGGGGGCATTTTAAAGGGAAAGAAATGCAGGAAAGCTGATTTGGACAGGGAAGTGACCTGTAAGTGTCTGTACAGCCCAGTCTGCATCTCACCTTCTGGCCAGGCTAAATAACCTGTAAGCAGGCTGTAAGACTGCTGAGTAGAAATGGTCATTAATCCCTGCTTCATCATCTTTTGACACAAAAGGG